ACGCTCAGCTTGTCCTTCCCACTTTTCAAAGAGACACACTTCCCACCATCTGCTTTGGAAAAATGCCCGCTGGTAGGCTTTTTTGCTGAACTCCGTCTGGAAAGGGTTAAGGATGGCCTCGCTGGAGAAACACAGCCAAACTGGGGTGAAGTGACAGAACATGAGAGAGGGGAAAAAAACGTTATGTTGTTGGAACATTTTGAACTAGCTTCACATTTGAATTTTAAGGAGACACGCAGGATTTGAGCGGTTTCTCTGCAAAACGCAGTTTGCTCCTTCGCAGACGCGTCGGCCGTTTTAGCCATTAAGGCAGCTGCTCTCACTCTTGACGCAGACTTGCTCTCCCTGGACAAAACCATTAAACCATTAGCTAAATCATTCAGCTTAAGTGTTACAACAACAGCTCTCGCAGTCAGCACTGCCATGGAGACAACCTCTGCAGAATTACTTCAATAACTCTAATGGCCACTAACATCATTCTCCCATGCAATATCCCACTTCCTGCAGGTAATGCCAGCCGGGGATAAATAAGTTAAGATAAAATGTTAATTGCATTTGATGGCCATCTCCAGTCTAATATGATAAAGAGGCACTACCTGGCTGTAAAACAAAGATAATCTAAATGCTAATTAGGGAAATCACACAACATTAAAACTATTTTTAAGAGAAACCGAATGATGAATAAATTCTCATTGTGGCTGGTGCCATTTGAGAATGATCGGATTTAACAGAATTAAGACAAGTGTGCCCTCGTCCTCTAATCCCCCACCATCTCTGACTTCCTTTGGCTCCTCTTTTCTCCTTTTTCTTCTTCGTCTTCACTGGTGGACGGTCACCTAGAGTGAATCGTTTTTTTTCCTGTGGCCGGCTGAGTGGAGAAATCTTATCTGGGTTTGTGTGATAAAGACACAGTTCAACAAAGCTCGGGATACAGTCCACAGAAAACATGCGAGAGGCTTTGTAAAGCTGCACAGTGGCACATCGAGCTAATTATCAATGCACTCATCGAGCTGAGATGACTACATACTGCAAATCCAACAATGACAACCCGATCGAGCTGGCAATAAGCGAGGTTTAATACTGACAATCGTCATTTCAGCATGCTGCGCTAAATAAAAGCACAATTCAGGTCAACATTAAGTGAACTAAACAAAAAGTTGGGTTTTTGGGGGAGTTTCACCAACTATAGTGTGACCAGAAGATGGTGCTAGTTGGAACGTTATTCATCCTCACTTTCATGTGTGTACCAAATTTAACAACATTTCACTCGCACAAACTGCAGAAGTGGCTAAATTATTTTCTGGTGTGACCCAAAGTGACCAACTAACATTAGCATAACACCTGTAAGTCAGATTAAAAGGGTTTAAAGAGGATTCAGGACACAGCATGAGAAAACACACAAAAAGCGTATTCATCAGAACACTTTTAGAGATTTTTTTTGAAAGTCACAATTTTTCCAGATCTCTGTTAGAACAAGACATGATTTATCAGCTGGGTGGGCAGGTAGTCAGGGAGCTGCCTAGATGCTGAAGAGCCATTAGGAGAGAGAAAATGGAGAAATTCTACTGTCTGACAGCCACAGTGGTGCTCTGATCCAGACATCCACCCCGAGGGGCCAGGAGGAACACGCTGACAATCTGCTTCACTGTCACCGACATCCCATTTAAACAAATAGCTTAGCTTAGGTTACCGCACCGGGGAAATTCACCGTAGCATTTCTTTCTTCTTTTTTTGGGGGGGAAGAGGAGGAATGTGAACCTCTGTGTGATGGATAACATGTTCGTAACAAGAAAGCTGGTGAAATATTTTGCTAATACCTTTTTCATCATTATTCCACCCTCTCGGCGTTCATCTCCTGAAATAACCTGCGTACACACTCTGCACGTGTACGCAGACTCATACAGGAATCAGCTGTTATACCTGTGGCTGCAGCTTAAGGCTAGCACTAGTTTTTAGAATGATTCGATATATAACTTATTGTCCTACATAACAAAATAAGAACTGAACACATCAACAACGACGCCGGGTCCTAGTGATATTAAATTCTCTTCAGATGTCAGTAACAACCCATCGAATCCCCCACATGCAAAGAAATCAAACCGCTGTAAAGTTAAGATGAGAAAACCGTGGCAAACTTCATTCCTAGTTTCCTTTTTTGATGATTAACAGGGGGAAAAAGATTTTAAAATGTCATTTCACCGACCTAAGTCGCACAGTAAACCTTAAATATCCACAAAGAAGATTCATAGGTGACCCATCATCTGCATGATTACAGTAAAAAAACCCAAAAACAAACCTAACCGGCTGATTCTGTTCTAACTCCCTGCACTCGGACATGTGAGACAAGCCTCATTATCAGCATCACCAATCTGCTTCCCTGTAATTACATTCAGAGAACAGATACCCTTGAAACGCTGCCAGTATGGATGGATAAATGCAGTAGCCATGGCAACAATAGAAGTTGGATATGTATAGTGGAAACAGTCGTATGTGGCGGCAAGCGATACCTCCTATTAGAGCCCTCCACAGATCAATGTTCACTGTTCGAGTGGTGGTCGACGCTGGCACGGCGATGCCGAGCACGTAGCAAAAGTACAATTCATTTAAAACTGGACACACAATGTGCGACTGCGGGTTTGCAAACACCTTAAAGATGTAATAAAAAAAAAAGACGCTTACAGGTGAGGCTGTCCAGTTGTCTCTCCCATCACTGTCTTCTATGACTGATGTCGTGGAAAACACTACTTTAGGGGAGATTCCCTAGAGGGAGAGGGACAATAGACGAAACACAGGGGTTTTTACAGGGAGATGAAGACAAAAAGACAAATAACAGAGCTGCCTGGAACACCAATTTACAACTGCAAATCTTCAATCTGCGCCTGGGTTGAGAAAAACAAATCTCACAGAAGAGAAAGGCTCCAGTGATGTTTAAATAATACGGCATTTGCAGAGAGACATCTAAATTGCTATGTAGGACCTCAAACACAAACACATAAAAGCAATGGTGAGGGGGGGGGGGGGGGGGGGGTTTAAATACATTTAAATATTGCCAGTTAGTGCCTTGGAGGACAAGGGGAGGATAGAAAAGCAACCCGCAGACAT